CCAACCTTTTTCATGAAAAGAAGAAAAGCTTAATTTCGCCCCTTACGAGCAATAGAACTAAAATCTAGTAAGTCCATAGGAGATGAGGTGAGTAATTAAGATTTAAGATTTGAATGTAAAGTATCCAAGTTTGAATTATCATAAATTTTTATTAGTAAGTGATTTGTAAATTCAAAAAATTTTAAAAATTTCGTAAATCTCTTTATAGATTAACACTTTACTCTAATCCTGCTTTTAAACTTTTTCATAAAAAAAAAAAAAATCAAATTTCAATATACATTTACCGATGAAAACCTAAAACAAATTAGGACAAAATTAATGGAATGACAGTCAGCATAAAGTTTTCAAAATAAAGTCAAAAGTAAAAATCAGCTTTATCTAAATTTGGGAAGCAGCTAATGTCATTCAAGTTTGTACAGAATGATTAATTAATTGACAGAGCAAAGTAATTTACCGACAAAAAGAGTTTGGTCAAGCAAATAGATAGGACCAACTTTTGCCCAATTGCCTCAACCAATAATCTGCTTTCGGCTTCATTCAACACACCTATGTAGCTTATTTGTTTTTGGTTGTCACCGTGGCACAATCTTTACCATATATACATAGTACATATTTAAGAAATTTCAATTATAATAATTACTTTATTTACTTAAGGGACTCTTAAAGTAATTCAAATCAAGAGTTTCACAAAGAAATGGAGGTAAATTGAAGTTAATTGCCAATTAATCTTTAGAAATGAATAAAATATATTGAAATTAAAAAAAGGAACAGTTCCTAATATATCGAAATTAAGCATTTTTTTAAAATTTTGTTGAATAAATTAAGAAAAATTTCGAGCGAAGTAATTAACAGGAACAATTATCAATGATTGTAGGTGACAACTAGGAGCTAAACTTAGCTCATAGAAACAGGCAAATGATAGGCTAAGTATTCAGCAAAATTGGGTCATTTACAGATTTCAATCATTTGGGATGATATTTATCCATGAGATCATGTCATGCCAATAACTTTTTTTTTTTTTTTTTGGGTATTGGATATCACTATTACCCAACAAAGTATATAACCAATATTTCGAACTATACTTGAAGGAATATTAAAAAGTTTTTGCAAATTTGTTGCTTAATTGACTATTATTAGTAGTATTAGTACTTGTTAATTACCCTATCTCTCATGGTAATGTATTATTTAAGGTCTTGAATTTGAATTTTTGGGACGATGAAATATGAATAATTAATTTTTCGATAATGTTGGATTCTTAATTTAAATTGAACAAGAGTTCAATTTTTAAAAATTTTAAATAGTAAAAAAAATTATATATATATATATATCGATCCAAACAAAACTTAAAAAATAAAATGATGATAATTGAATAGTTTTATATATGGTTGATGTTGGTCCAAAATTAGAATATTAAACATGAAGATGTTGGGCAGCTGTGCATTGGAATGTTGCATGTATGTTTCATTAACTAATCACATGGCATTTGGGGCATCATTCATTCAAACCAGAGCAAACATGACAGGCAGAAAACCACATACATAGATTAATTAGTATCCCTACCTCTAAGCCCATGCACAAAGTTTGGAAATTAACTTTGTTAGATACTTAGGTTTTTTTTTTTTTTTTTTTTTTACTACCGTAAATGGGAGATGGGTAATATATTTAATATTACTAAAATTCCACTTTTTACATGAATACTATTAATTAATTAATAATTAATCGAGAATCTAATGTTTGTAGTTTCATTAATGAAAATACTAAATGAAAAGTGCAATTGATAAGTGGGTTTCCATTAAAAACTAAGGGTCATGAATGGTATCCATGAAGAACTTCAGAGCTGCAATGTTTCAACAATTTAAGCAATTTGAAAAGCCCTAGTAGCAACGCTCAACTTCTCTACAGGGAAATTTATCACATGTTTTTTTTTCCCTTTTTCATCTCAAATTTTTGTTGCAAAGTATATATTCTTCCATTTCGAATTCCAATCTCTATTGTTGACCATCATATTATTATACACAAAAAAATTACATTAAAGCATTTAGTTCAATGATTAATGTATAATTTCTTGCTCAAATAATAGGATTCGAATTATTCCTTCGAACAATAAAGAAAATTGAAATTAGATGGCCCAAAGGGTACTCTCATCCGGAATGAAATTCAAATATAAAATATCTTATACTTATGTTCATGAAATTAATTCAAATTATGTAATTTCAAATAATTTTGTTAATTTAATGATTTTTTTTTTGTTTCAGAAATATGTGTTAATTATCTAAATTTTATTGGTAAAATATTGAATTTTTAATTTTAGTAATTAAGATTTAAACCATAGTTATTGGTATTGTATCAGCATCAACCGGTACATATCAATTTTGAAGAAAATTAATATGGTGCCCATATTGTAGCAATTTTATACCAGTTGTTTCTATCTCTGCCAACGCATACCACTTAATATCAGTTACGGGTGTAATTGAGCCAAATCGAGTCGATACAATGAGAAGTTTAAGCTCGAATTCGACTCTTAACTCACGATTCAATACTCGGTTCGAATTCGATCGAATTTTATTTTTTTAGTTCGAGCTCGATTCGTTATTGAAATTGAGTTACTCGAGCTCGTTTGATTAAGCTCGATTAATATGTAAAAATAAGCTCAATTTGTATACTCGATAAGAGCTCAATTATTTATGTTCGAGTTCGAGCTCAAATTCGAGATATTTTATTAATTAAAATAATAAAAATATATTTAAATATAAAAGCTCAATTAGACTCTCGAACTATTCGAGGTAGGTATAAGAATACTCGAACTCGACTCGATCGATGAGTCAAACTACTCGAACTCGAGTTCGACTTAATAATAATCGAATAAAATTTGAGTTTTATTCGAATTAAATCCGAGTAGCTTGCGAGTACTAATGTATCATTTACACCCATAGTATCAATTAGCACAGGATTTTATTTTATTTTTGTTTTATTTTTTTTCATCTTTTTTGATTCTTTTAATCAATTCTTAATTTTTTTCTTCAATTCTTTTTTATCTCGTGATGATTCTTATTTTTATAATTTCATTAAAAAAATAAAAAATTTTCATTAAATTAGGCTATTGAACCCATTTAAAAATGATTTACTATGTTTTTCAATATTTAAAATTTATTACATTTATTTGATATTTGAAAATTTTGAAAATTAAATATTTATAATTTTGAAAATTTATATTTGCATATAAACATATATAATTAATGGGGATATGTTTGTATGTATATATAACATATATATAATTTAAAAAATGTTGGTAAACCCAAAACGATATGCTGAAACAAATCGATATTAGTATATATTAATACCAAAATAAAAATAATATGCCCTTTGATACGGTAGTAACTACTTTGATTTAAACTACATGTGTCTATGAGTCGGGTTAGTCCAGGCTGGCCATCGGAAACCTTTGCCTAAAGCTCAGTCCATTAAATCCAATAGACCCAATTTTTTAAAATAAACTATTAATGTTATTAATATATTTTAAAATTAAAATTAAATAAAAATATTTTTTACTTATTAATAATGTTCTCGACTGAGCTTAAGCTTCAAAAATCTTAACTAGGGCTCGACCTAAGTTAGATCAAGCTTGCAGGTGGAAAATAGCCTGATCTGTTGATAAATTCGATAGATGAAAAGATCTGATTTAAACATTAAATTTCAATTGGAAACAAATTTAAAATGTTTTAGTGAGTATATAGGATTATTTTCCTGGGAAATTTTTTTTCCTTTTCCGAATGGTACAAAAAGAGAGGGGGGATTCCAGTTCCATCTTCACCAGTCACTGAAATGGTAGTTATTTAATTAAATTGGTTAAAATCTTCTGAGGAGATAGGGGGCAATTTAATTTGCACATGAAAAATCCTGCAAGCCAAACATGTGAGCTATAAATATATATATATATATATATTTAAAATTGACTGTTGTCTTTGAAGATGATTTAATCTGCTTACTAACATTTTGTCCATCCGACGTTTGGGCAGCGACCGGTGTCTAGGGGTACTGTTCCTTTTTAAGGACTGGGGCACCTGTGAAGTGACACCTTTACCCTTGGAGTCACACCTTTTTGCTTTATAGGAAAAGGGTTAATTTGACTTTTCGTCCCATGCACCACCCCCCTCAATTAGGAGGGACCATATGTGTAACTAGCCAAAATTATTATATCCTTTAAATTTCTCACGATATTATATATATGGAAGAGAAAACGAATGAGAAATTGGCTTGGCGCCCCAAAGTTACATACAGAAAGTAAAATGTGGGAATTAGGGTTTCATTATGCCCAAATGAGTGGTTGGAATCAATGTATTAATCATATGTATCTTTCACAAAAAAAAAAGTCTAATGTTTATTTTGATTTTAGCATCTATTAAACAATATAAAATTTTTTTATAATACAATCAAAGTAATTATCGTATTTTTTTTATTATGATCTGATTTTTTTTAAATGATTTTAAAAACACAATCTCATATATAAACGTAACGCATGCATTTAATTATATCCAAAATGCTCTTTAAATGATCAATTAGACTAACTCTTGTAGATTTTAATTGAATATGTTGGTTAATAAAAATAATATTTTAATTTATTGTTTGAATAATAGAAAATTAAGTATGAGTTGAAGGACAAATGCACACGTTAAAGTATTATTAATATAACCAATGGCCATAAAATCTCACTTTCTTTTTTCTCTCTTTTTTTGAAAAAAAAAAAAAAAGTAAAAAGGAGAAAGAAGAGAGAAAAGAGGAGTAGTAAAAATGAAACAAAGTCCCTCAAACTAATTATTTACTGTTTTGCTTTCTCATCTTTTTTTGCTTCCTTTTCTCACACCCCCACGTCCACAAAAGAAAAATACTCGACTTACTCGTCTTCTTTTTCTATCTCTTTCTTTTCTCTATAGCTCCCGCAAGTGTCATTTTCTCACATATACTTCACACAAAAGAAACAACCATTCACTTCATAACTTGTCATTTCTTCTCTTTCTCTCTCCTTTTTTCTTCCTCTTTCTCTCTCTCTCTCTCTCTCTCTCTCTCTCAATCTTCAATCTCTGCAACTACTCCTCCCCTCCAAACAATTGATCAAGCCCAAGCCGAAGAAAACCTCAGAAATTTTTTCACCTGAAAGATAGTTCTAAACTTTTTTTCCTGGATCAGTCAAACTACACATCTCTTGTTCAACCTCTGCTTCAAATAAATATATATATAAAGACCTAATCCTTTCGTGGATATATACTTATTGTTATAAAACAGAAACACAGTAGGACGAGAACAGCCAAGAAGGAAGCAAAAAGGGAGTGATCAGGAACATAAGCAGAGGGGACTTAAAAGTGTTTAAGATGGAGTTATTCCCGGCACAACCAGATTTATCCTTGCAAATCAGCCCACCAAACAGCAAACCCACATCGACATGGAGGAGGACGGAAGAGGATATGGATTTGGGTTTCTGGAAGAGAGCTCTCGACTCAAGAAACTCCATGTCTTCAATGGCAAAACCTGACAACTGCTTCGAGCTATCTTTGTCGAATCCAAGGGTTTCAGAGTCCAACTCCAACCACTTACACCTTCTCCAAAACGGTAGCGCCAATTGCAATGGTAATCTTTTCCACGCTTTTCACCAAAACCAGTTTCCACACCATCACAACCAGCTGCAGCATCCGGTACTGTATCAACATCAGCAGCAACAACAACAACAACAACAAGGGCTAGGACAAGAGCTTGGTTTCTTGAGACCCATACGGGGAATTCCCGTCTACCAAAACCCTCCTCCTCCTCCTTTCCCATTTGCTCAACAGCCTTTAGATTCATCTTTAACTTCCTCTCCTTCTTCATTGGCTAGTAACCATACTAGTAACACAACAAGCTTGAGCCCATTTCAGTCTCCAGGGTTGATAAGATCAAGATTCATGTCAAGGTTTCCAGCTAAAAGAAGCATGAGAGCTCCAAGGATGCGGTGGACTACTACACTTCATGCTCGCTTTGTTCATGCTGTTGAGTTATTGGGAGGTCATGAAAGTATGCTTCATTTCTCTTTAATTTTTGTCTTCTTTTCTTTCTCTACTATTCACTTTTCAGTCCTTTTCCTTATTCTTTCACCATTGCTTCGTTTGATTTTAAGCTTCTTTGGGAATAGGAAAAAAAAAGGGAGGGCTATTATTATGCTCAAGAAAATTGACTTATATAACTATCACTTTGTTTCCTGATCTCTTATATATATTTATTCTCTATTCTTAATTGTGGGGTTTTAGGAGCTACACCCAAGTCAGTGCTTGAGCTAATGGATGTCAAAGATCTTACCTTAGCACATGTTAAATCCCATTTACAGGTAAATAACTTTTTCATCCTTCTCTGATAATATTTCAACGGGGTTTTCTAGCTTTTCTACTTGCAGGGTTTCCTCTAAATGGAAGTAAAAACGACCCTGAAATATTTACTTGAAGTTTCTGCAACTATGGGTTTCTCTTTCTCCTTGTCTTACTTCCTCAGGCTGTTAATAGTGCTAGCTTGATGCAGCGTTAATGGTGGTAGTAAGGTGAATTTGCATTTTAAAACAGCTTGCATTTCCAGAAGCTGTTAATAACATAGATTACAAATTCCAATGTTTCGTTGCAGAGGGTCTCCCAAATCCTCAGCACCTCTTTTTCTACTAGATCTGAAGGTTCTGCAAGCTAATAAACAGCTTTTTGCTTGGAAGAATGAACCAGCCCATGTACAAGAAAAAAATTCAATTAAAGAGAGAGAAACATTATCGATTTCAATAAAAAAAAAGTAAGACAAGGCCTAAGGAATTCAAAAATCAGTAATAGCCAAGCCGAGACAAGTTTCTCACTCAGTTCAATTTTTTTTTTCTTAAAAAAACTATTTTTCTCTTACACTGAGAGAGAGAAAAAAAAGGAAAGAAACATAACCAAGTACAAAAACACCATCATTTCTCAATGATATCTTCCTCAGCTGGGTTTCTTTTAACCTCCCTTCTTTAACCATGGTTAAACTCCTCTTCGATATTTTACAGCTCCTAAATTCCCATATATACATATGTTTATATACACAAACATAAATGCTTACTTTGCTTAGCTGCACAGTCATCCCCCTTTCTTTTTTTACAGTTCGTACTTGCATGCACTGTATCACACCTTGTCAATTGTCTATGGTACAGAGAACAGTTTATTATTGGTCTACTTTCTGGTTTTTACCTTATTTGTCCATCTTTTTTGCTACCCAAAGGGCTAAAAATTATACTACTTAAGTTTTATTTACCTTCTCATCAGCTACTCTAATGAATTAATCTTATATTTACTCTTTTAACAAGTTATTTTCTTTTTTTTTTTTCTGTAAATTTGCTTTCAGATGTACCGAACGGTGAAGACCACGGACAGAGCAGCTGCACCTTCTGGTTAGTAGCAACATTTTCATCAGATTGAATTGTATATATATATAATGCATGTGTACTGCGTTTGATGTTACTTAATTTGTGTTTAATCTAAACTTAGTTGTTTAATTAAGCAGGACAATCGGATGCATTTGAAAACGGATCATCTGGGGATACTTCTGAAGATTTGGTGTTCAACATTCAAAACCCAAGAAGATCAGAGATCTCAGTTCAGCAGGGAAGATCATCATCGTCAAATGCTTATCAAGACAAGGAGTACCATGGGCTCTGGAGCAATTCATCAAGGTTAGTCTGCTGTTTCATTTGTTTCCTTCCTACAATTTCCACAGTTTGGCTACTCAGAAATTTTCATTTTCATTTTTTTTTTCTAAAAAACAATAAAAAGGACAATGAATGATACTGGGATCGATGTCACAACAACCACAGATACCTAATGTAGCACGATCCTTAGTTTTGTTTTGATATATCAACTTGTTCTGCTTTATTTGACAGTCTTGTATTGCATTCAGATATATGCATTCGTCAGCACTGTAGGTATAGGGAAGAAAATATATAGTTATACTCTAAATCAAGAATTTTAAAAGAGTAACACTACCGATATGTGAACAATTTTTTTTTTTTTTTGGTTTTTTCTTTTACAAGAATAGGCAACAGCGTATCTCTTATTGGAGAATGTTTGTACTGGAATTAAAATTAAAAAGATCCCATTTCTCTCTCCCTTTCTCTTTCTCTAGCTTTGTCTAGGCTTTTTCTCTCCACTATCACATGCAAATACAAACACAGTTACATGCAAGAACTCACAAAAAGAGGGAAGAAGTGATTTAGGTGCTTTGTTCTGTCTGTCGAGTGTAGACGACCAGAAACGCTGAAAGTCCATGATGGGGTAATTATAATACTCCTACTTATTATTATTATTATTATCTTAAGTTGGGATGGGTGGGAGTGGTAAAAGGAAAGCACCCACTCCCCTATCATTCCAAGACTTGAGAGAATCCCGAATGACAAATCCACCTAAAAAATGGAGATATCTCTTTCCTTTGGATTTTGTGGGCTCAGATATAAGGCAAATAAATGGGGCCTACAAATGGAAAACTTAGTGTCAAAGCTAAACTCTGTGATGGCCCCATTAGTGGAAATCTTGGTATTAACTAAAGCTATGCCCTTTGAACCTTCTTTCTTTGTGGTCTGTTGTTATGGGTAATGGGCAATCACATGGGGGTGTGGGTTTTCACTTTATTTCAATCAGCATAAAATGTAAAGAGTGAGCAACAACTATAAACAAGACAGTAAAAGATAGCTTTCTTTTCTCAGTTTGCTTTTTCTTCTGCATGGCTTCCACTGATAGGAAATATTCTCTCATTGTGTTGGTTTCTGACAGGGAAGCTTGGCTGCATGGGAAACCAAAGGATTCTAATGGAAACTTACCGTCTCTCCAGGTACTAATTTCTAACCTTTTTTTCCCAAAATAACCTTCAGTTTGAAACTTTTGTCCTACATTCTGATGCTAATATACATAGGAATGAACCTAATAAAAAAGGTATGGTAAGAAAGAGGAGCCAAATAACTTTTTTGCTCTTCTTTCTTCATCTAGCCATGCACATTTCAAATTGCATTATTTCCTGGTATGATTTTGAAATGTTGACCCAGTTTTCCAATATCCGGATGCTTAATTGAAACCCCAAATTTAGGCTGGCTTTTAGTACTGATTCACAAACTCAAGTACGTGGGCTATTTAGTCATTTTGGAAGGCCAGAAGCCTAATCAAAAGAAAAGTGAAAAAAAAAGGGGGTGTTTTTATGATTTTTAAAAGTTCTTTTTCCTCAGGCCTCATCATCAAATTTACTGCCCTTGTATTATACCTCAAAACCTAATCCCATGACCCATCAAGCTCATTGGTTTGACCTTGAAAAATGCATGGTTGGTTGCAGAAGAATAATGCATCAGAACAGTGGTATATAATGTAATGCTAAAGAGTAAAGATCAATAATGGAGAATAGTCTTGGGAGTAGCACACAGGAGAGGGAACTGTAGCAGGCTTTCAAAAATATTGTACTCTAGCAAACAACAAGCAATATTTCTTTTCCATATTTTCTTTGCTAACATAAATATTCTATTATTCCCTGAGTTAAATTGTCCTTTGATTCGCCGTATATATCTCAAGCACACTTCTCTTCTGGCTATCTACTGCTCAAAGCATGCTCATACATATACTACTAGTAGCAGCTAGTAATTTGTTGCTTTTGATGATTTCCTTTTCTGTCTTTATTTGTTTTGCAGAAGGATATGGATCCAAAGTGTTTAAGCTATGAGAGAATATCAGACGTAAGCTCATCAAGCCATTCAGCGACAAGCCCCAAGAAGCCTAATTTGGAATTCACCTTGGGGGTGCCACATTGATATAAAAATTACATATAATATTTCATATCGATCTTTGGGTGTTTGTACTACTCATTTTGAAATGATTATATCTTCTGAAAGAGAATCAGGTACCCGCTCAGAAAAAATCAGAAGAAAAAAAAGAAAAAAAAAAGAAAAAAAAAAGGAAAAGAAAAGAAAAAGAGAGCTAAAGAAAGAAAGCAACAAAAGGAGAGAAGGGTGTGAAAAAAAAGCACACGTCCTTCCTATCAAGCCTGTGAGAGATCCAAATCAACATATTATATTCCTACGTACGTAAATATGAAATCTAATTGATTTTGTATGTTTTGCGCTCAGAGACAGAGAGAGAAGCAAAAGAAAGAGAGAAAAAAAGACAGTGAGTGACCTTTAACTATCTTAAAGTATGAAGTGATCCTTGGTAATTGTAATGGACCACTTTTCATTTATAAAATATTTTTAGCATATTTTTACCAAAGGTTGAGTTTGGGGTTTCTATTCTCTCCAATTCTTTTCATATGCATTGTCACATGCTTTACACTTTGTGAACAAAGGAGAAAAAAAAAAAAAAAAAAACCAAAATGGCTTTTTGAAGAAATATGAGTTAGGAAATAAAGGTTGTATCATTAACTTAAAATTAATTCGGTAAAATAGAAAAAGAAAGAAGAAATGAAAAGGGAAAGCTTTCAATTCCCTTTCTCAAAATATCATCAAAGTTTATAAAAAAGTCTAGTCAAAACCAAAAGTGTAAAAAATATAAAAATTAAATAAAGAAATCTCTCTCTTTCATTTTTCATTAGTTCTTTTGCTTTTGATGGTTGGATTATTTACACATGGATGATTAATCAACTCTTTTTACGGTTGAAATTTGAATTCGGAGTTTTTAATTTTGAAGTAGACTAACAGCTACTTAATTTATTGTTTGCTTTTTGTCAGCTTTCATAGGGAAATTAAAAGTCATAACACATCAAACTTTACTAATTGTCTAAGGTAATAAGAAAAGGCTTCATTAGTTAATTAGGATATGCTAAAATTAAGTTACGGTTTAAAATTAATTTCTGGTATCAGATAATGACGAAATTCTACTCCTTTGATGGTTTCCTAAGGAATAATAATTATCGTAAACATTGCTTTTGTCATGATTGCAATTTTAAATTAAGAACGGATAAAGCATGCATGGATTTTGATGTTTAGCTTGTCAAAAAGATGAATGAAGTCTCGGTAAGTCGCAAATTACCATGTCTTCTAATTGCCGAAGGAAGCTTCCTTCAAAGTGTAGCTAAACATTTCTCACAAATGAGAATTGGTGCTTTAAATTGCTTTTAATCCTCTGATGAGCTATGGTGTAATTTGGAATTTTCAGAAGCATTATTCCACATTTGACCTCTAGCAAATAAGATAATGCTGCATGTTTCGCATGGAGAATTAATTTATTTATATTTGAGATTTTTACCTACATATCACATTGACAAATTAAAGCTAACTTTAATAAAAGTATCTTTCATTTCCCATTGAGCTAGTACATATAAATTGGTTTTTGTGACTTTTAGGGAGAATATAATTATCAAATTAATTTTGCCTCAATTAGGGTTCTTTTACATGTATATATTGAAGGATTATCAAGTACCGAAGGAATATAAAAGCCGAAAATGTTGAAATCAACAGGGTGTGAAGAACCCCACATCACTCCTTTAAACACTAAAATCAAACAGAATGATTGGAAAAGAGCTGAGAAAAAAGTATATATAGAGAAGGATAGGGAATTTAAGACAAGAGCATATATAGTCTTTGTGTACAGAAAGATTCCTACCAAAAATTTGTTCTCTAGTCAGATGTTTCCTTCTATAAGCACAAAATTTTATGCCTTTGGCTTATATATTAGGCTTGAGTAATTTTCAATTTGTGGAGAAAGCCTCATGTTCCAATGTTAGCTTTATCAAGTTATGATTACCATGTATAGCAGAAAATGGCGGGTCCAAATATTTGTTGTTTGGTCACAATCGTGGATCAAGTACCGCAACTTCGATGCATCAAAAAGACTGAAATACCCTTATGCTATATTAAGTAAGATATGATGAAAGCATTCTTTATCAAGCCAAATTTGTGGTGAGCAATTAAGGAGTTTTATGTCAATTTGTGGGTCCCCCTATACCAATTGCTCCAAAAATGTTGCTAGTAATCTTCAATCTCCTCCAAAATTTGGCAATCCTAAAACAAGTAAAGCCTTACAAGACTGGCAGCTTCAGATATGCAAGATAAGTGCAAGACAAAGAGACATCACTTGGGAAATATGGCGGAAATTTTTGGTAAGTTACATTCACACTTTCATAGGAAAAATATATATGGTCCAAAAGCTTGAATTGTACAATGATAACATGCTTTTCTTTCAACCATTATTCCTTACTAAAACCATGACTCATGAGCAAGCTGGGGAAAGCTTTGCCAGATTTCACTATTTGACAAACAAAATTTTGTTAAATGAAGCAACACTATTAGAGTAACATTTGTTGGCTTTAATTAATTAGACATCTCCTGAAAAGAATAACTTCTAAATCTAACTCTTGTAACTTTAGTGTTAAACTTTCAGCTTAGGGTTGTTTTCTTGGCAAATGCTTCAGCCTTTTGTGAGATATTTCATATTGTCTTACAACTTTTCTTTAGGAGGCAAAAGAGAAAGGAAATGGACAATGGGTAATTCATAAAATCCTTGGGAAAATGGAATATATATATATATATATTTTTTGCCTTGGTTTGGTTAGGTTAGTTGAGGACTTTAAGCTTTGGCACATATGGGTAAAGAAAAAGTGATTGGATGAAAAGAAAAAAAAAATGGTGGGGGAGGGGATGAGGGTGTTAAAATCCAGGAGAATAAAAGAAGGAATAACTTTTCCTTTAATTTTTTTTCACCTTTATTTGCTTTGCTGAGGTTTTACACAAAGGGGGGTTTGGCTTAAAGCTTAGGCCCCAGTGCTATGACAAACGAAAGACACATCCATCTCTGCCTTTGAAAGCTATATGTATAGCAACACGATGTTAATGAAGCAGAAAGATTGACAAATCAAAAATTAAAGTAATTATTAATATATCTCTCAAAAAGGGGGAAAAAAAAAGAGAAAGAAAAAATGAAACTGAGTAAGAAGAAAGAGACATAATGGGACATAACTTTATCCAGACAACCCATAAGAATCAAATAAAGCCATGGCCAAAAAATCAAAGCAACCAAAAGTTATTAGGAATTTAATAAATTTCAACCGTGCAACTTATAAAACATCAATTCATGCTATTTTTATCAACAAAATTTAAAGTGAATGTCCTCCCACTCACTCACTATGTACCATACATCTTTTTCCATTCCACCCTCTTTTTCTCCTTTATACATATATTCAACGAAATTAAATTTGTGTTTGTATGACAATAAACAAGCCGAGTTTATTTAACAACCTTAATTAGGCTCAAAATTGTTAGTATTATTTTTTTAGCCAAATAAAAAAGAAAATATTGTCCGATTTAACTAAGAAACCATGATATGAACATTTATACTTTTTATTTAAGAAAAGAAAATTCTAAACCCTCCTTTTTATGTAAAAGGATGATACATATTTCACTTGAGTTCGGATGTTGAATATATATATGTTTATAGAACTTAAAGACTTTCAACTAAATACTTAAATAATGCTTATATATGAATATTGATGATTCTAAGTAATCCCGGCAAGCATGTTGAGATTCCAAATTGACTTAACTTCAAAGACATCTACTTAATTATTACTAATTTGTTAGTTAAAATTAATAATCAAACTTTGAACAAGTTTTAACAAGTAATTATTAACAATCTTAGTTATAGGTGTTGGGATATGTTTCATATGTGAATAAAAAATTTCATATTATTAAAAAATCTGAATGAGATATCTTAGATATGTATAAAAGACCCAAGTAGGGATGGCATCGGGTCAGATTCGGGATGGGTTTTGCTCGCCCCAAATCCGACCCGATTTTATGCTCTATTAAACCCGAACTCGACCCGACCCGAATTTTTTTAATACCCGAACCTAATCCGACCCGATACTATGTAAATCGTACATGATTCAACCCGACCCGAAATTAATAAAATATTTTTTTAAATATAAATATTATTTTTTAAATATAAATATTTAAAAATATCATTATATAAATATATAATTAATTAATTAAAAAATAATTTTTTAATAATATCGGGTCGGATAGGGTCGGGTTTTAGGCATACCCGAACTCGACCCGACCCTATAGGGTCGGGTCGGGCCGAAACCCGTCGGGGACGGGCTTGATTGTCGTCCCTAGACCCAAGAACTTAATAACTTAAGCTTTTGGGCTCAATGGTATCCAACATATATGTATGAGCTCTTTGGTGTGCTCTCATGAGCTTCAAATGTGATTTATCAGGTCCAATAAGTGATATCAGAGCCAACTCTGGGGTACTAGCGATATGCCACCAAGAATGGTGGGCCATCGTTGGAGTGGGAGAGAATGTCACGGTCTTAGAGTAGAGTCGGGAACCATCGTTGGAGTGGGAAAGGATGTCACAGTCTTAAAGTGGAGTCAGGAACCCTACATCGACTGTATACTAGAGTTGATTATAGGATATAAGGGTTCACACCATCTCTTTCTTGTGAGGCACCTTTTGTGAAATAAAATCATGAAACCAGAGGAACCAAAGTAGACAATACTCACAAGGGTGTGAACCCTAGCAGGCAGATTGATCTAGTACACAGGATGAGTGCATGCCTGAATCTTGGAGCTGCTCAGGCTTGGGGGTTAAGTCTCGACCTGTAATAAGTAGTATCAAAACCAAGATTATGATGGGTTCGAGTCTTAATGGTATTGCTGGGAGGAGATTATTGGTAGATCTGAGGTTGATCACATCCATCAACTCTATGTGCTTGAATATCGGTATTAAAAAGTTTCACTTGTATATAACGAGTTTATAATAATATGCAGAAGCAGAACCCCAAGTGGACTATGTGTTAAGTCAACTTAAAGTGTAAGCTTAAAGGAGCACTAGAAATGTGAGGTTTCTTGGCCCAAAATAAGATATTACTTGATCTAAATGAAGTGTTGATAGGATTTACTTACATGAAAAAATTAAAGTGAGACTTAATTATAACTCACAAGTAAATAAAAAAAATTATTCAGATATAATTCACATATGAATAAAGAATCTCATATTATTAAAAAATTTAAATAAAATATCTTATATATGCATAAAAAATTCAAAAACCTACTAATTTAAAATTTTAAGCTCAAATGATATCAAACATATATATATATATATAAGCTCTTTGATTTGCTTTTCTAAACCTCAAGTGCAGTTTATCAAACCCTACAATAGGTCTTGGTGGAAAATTAATAAATTTGCATATGAAGACAGAATTGATATGATTTTGATCAAAGTAAAGAAAAAACAAAAAGCTTTTTTCATGCAGCCCAATACCATCGTAGCATGGAATTTAGCTTTACCTTTTTTTTGCTTTTGCATGGACAAGTGTATGACTGAACGCCCACTTGCTTGACAAAA